TCCAGCCAGCGGACCCAGGTCCGCAACCAAGCCCTCCAGCGCCGTCAGCTCGCCGGTGTATTCAGCAGTTTTCTCTTCCATGATACCCAACTCCAGGCCTTCCGGCCGATACGAACTCCGTTAGCCCTGCAGCGACGGGGTTGACGGGTAATCCTTTCTCATCCCACTGTCGCCGTCCTGGATGACGAAGTCGCGGCGGTCCCGGTAGAGAGGGGCCCGGTTGAGTACTTCCTCATCATCCCAGTCCACTTGATCGGGCGGCGTCATCAACCAGTACTTGTAATCGCCGATGAACAGGTAGGCTTGCGCATCGACAAAAATCGAGAGGGACACCCTCGCCGTCGCGCAAGCGCTGGCAGACGCAAACTCGCGCTGGTAGTCTGCAGCAGACACCCTCGCCGTCGCGCAAGCGCTGGCAGACGGCCTCCATTAACTCGCGCTGGTCGTCCTTTTGCAGCAGGACGTACTCGTGGGGCCAGGTATCGCGGTAGGTGACCGCTTCGCGCCAGGGAGCGCGCGCAATCAGTTCGCTTAGTTCCATAAGCTGGTTCTCCTTATCTGCTGCGCCGCCGGTTCGTTCCCCCAAGCACCCACATTCCTGACTGGCTGTTGAGGCGCAGTTAGGTCGCCATTATCACCTGTGACGTTGTCGTGCGCTGGGACGACGGCAACGGCCACATCACTGCGATTCATTCCAAGACCGACGTTGAGGCCGAGGAAGCCGTGGTGGCCGTTACCTCGTCACCATGCGCGCTCCTAACGCCATCTGCCCGGTGGATGTCAGAAGAGCGATGAGAAGGTGTTGGGGTTGTCGGAGTCACAGGTTCGACGCTGCGCTGTGTGTAGCTGGATGCTTCACTGCTGGGCATTTCCTGGCGACGATGCGCGCTGTCCTTCCGATAGTGCCGGTGGCTCAACCATCCACTGCGGCAGCCGATAAACTCACGTTGGTGGTTAGACGTCAGAACCCGTGATCAACCGCGCGATGTGTTCCAGGCGCGCAACCACGGAATCGCGCACTGCCTCGTACTCTTCGCCCGTTGGCAGATGAATCGGGATGTGCCAATCATCGTCCATACCCTGTCCCGGGTACGTTGACTCAAGCCTGTCCAGGCGCCTAGCCAACTCATCGTCCGATCGCGTTTCAGAAGAGTACAGCTCGAGCCACAAGGGGGTATTGCCGCGTTTGGCCCAATCCTCATGGTTAATTCCAAACCATGCTTCGTTATCGTCCAGATATATCATCCGTCCGTAGAACGTGATCGTGTCGTCCGTAGTGGCACGTTTTCCACCTTTAAGTGTCCCCCACCCGTGGTTTGCGATTGCGGCGATAATGTCGTCCACCAAACGACGCAAGTCAATCACGCGGCGCGGTATTTCCTGATTTATCTCGTCCGGCCGCAACGGCAGGAAGGCTTCGTCATCCTCACGGGAAGCAAGCCCGCGCAGTTGGTCAAGGTCAATCGTTGCTTGCGTGTCTCCCGCGGCGTTCGCCCGCTCAGTCATTCGATCGAGTACAACTGCCCAACTCGCTGTCATCAAACGCCGTTGGCCGCCAACAACCGAGGCGCTCTGAAAGTTCTCATTGCTTTTGACCTGGCCCAGTTGGATGTTCCCATTCGCCAATCGTTGCTGTAATTCAGCCCACAACGAACTCAAGCGATTGGCCGGCGCCACGAATAGGAGCGCTGATGGTGCGTCCTCCGGCAACCGGTCCAGGTAGTTGTTGGGCTGGTTTTCGGTTAACTTGGCCCAGAACTTCGCCTCAACCAAAGCCGACTCAGCGTCATGTTCATCGAAACACGCCAAGTCCGGGCGCGCGCCGTCCTCGCCCTGCAACTGAGTCCGCACCTTGGTGATGGTCCCTATAGCGGCATCCCCGTCCCGTAGCAGTTCCGTAAGCGCTTGCCTCGCAGCCTCTGAGCGAGACAGAATCAAGCCAAGGGCATCTACCGCCACATCCTCGTGCCGATTGGTGTACTTCTGCGTAATATAGTTCAGCAACGTCTGCTCGACAGCCATGGACAATCAGTGCTCCTATGGATGATGCGGTAATACCGCAGTTGATGCCGCTTGGTCAGGCCGCTTGGCAGCAATGATTCTGACCGATCACCAAAGCCAGCCTTATCTCCGCCAGACCGGTCGGTCCTGGCTCAGCTGGTCTCCGCCGGCGTCGCGCCAATCCGGTACTTGCCGGCGCCGCACACCGCGCACACGGCCTTGGTGGCAGGGCGGCCGTTCTTCATCGTGACCGCTTCCACGTTGGTTGAGTCGGTCTTCGCTTTGCACTTCACGCAATAGATCTCGATGGCCATGAGGTTGCTCCTTCGTTAGCCGGGGGAACCCCGCCATTTCACCCTATCACGCCGGATTACGTGGGTCTATCCCCGCGCGTGCAGGGGAACCGCGCCCCAGCAGTCCAGACAGATGGTGAGCGGAGGTCTATCCCCACTTGCCTTAGGTCGCAGCGGCTTTTTCGACGGCGGCTTTCACAACGGCGTTATTCATACGTTCCTCCGCCTCGTCGGCACCATTCCCCCATTATCATGCAAGCAGACACACTTGTCCGCATTGCCTCAATAAAACCGTTACCCAACACAAGTGGTTGACTCAAATCAAATGTTACCGATATTCCGTTGCACAAGGTCTCTTGGCAGATGCTGCCACGACATTCGAGATAGCTGGTCAGCGTCGTCTCAAAGACTCGCTGCAACGCATCGGCGAACCCGGTCGAGGATCCATCCTTCCGGCGTGCTCCGTCTTATTGATACCCGCGGTGCTTCGCATAAAGGTCATTACGTAAACCGAGCCGAGCATCAGCCGTAGGCGGAGCACGTCGGACACCAGGACCCGTTGCGACGTCGGTTGACCTTATTCACCCCACACTCTACGCAGATCGGCGCCGCCGGATCCGCCTGGCGCTGCTGGTGGACAGCGGCGGCCGCTTGTGAACCACCGGCGGCTACAGCAGCCTGGCCAGCCGGGCGGTTTGCCGAAGCGCGCCGGTTATGGCGCCAGCATCGCGACCATGCGCCTCGCCACCAGCGCCATCGCCAAGGTCCACGAGTTGGCCGGCCATGAATCTCCCGGGCGGGACCAGGGTGTGCGCGCCTCTTTGAAAGGACGGGGGCGGCAGCTGGCCAGGCCCCAGCGCCAGGCCGGCGAAGAGGAAGTGTTCGGGCTGTCGGAGTCGTAGATCGCCCGGCGGGTGAAGGCGATTGCCAAGGCCGCTGGCCTTTCCGACTGGGAGTTTTTCAGCGGCCACAGCGGGGAGATGGCCCGGAGCATGGCCCAGAACGGCGAGCCCACCCATGAGATCGAACGCCAGGGCCGCTGGAAGCAGGGCAGCGGCATGGTCGGCCGCTACACCCGCGGCGAATCCGCCGGATCGGCTTTGCGGTATCTGTACCAACGTGGGAACGTCCCCCAGACCATATACTCCCGCGGGCCGCGTTGGCTATGGCCTTTCACATAGTGATAATTGCTGGGGTAACGACACACCTGGCCGAGGCCGACTCCGCATTTGGGGCAGGGCCAATTCCGGTTCCGATATCGCGATTTATTCGTAACCGCTACTGCTTCGCCCAAATGAACTCCGCTTCGGCGCTTAGGCGCGCTCCCAGCGGGTCTACCACTTGCCTGTTGTCTTTGCTCATGGAAAAGGTGCTGACCGACGTAGCCTGCGTAAGGACCGAAGTGCTGCTGAGCCCAGCGAACCATTACTGCGTCCGTCATTTTCGACCCAGCAATGTCGATGGCGGCGCGACGGATATGCCGGTCTATGGGAAACGCCTCCAGTTTGTCCAACGCCATCAGGCAAATGCAGTCTGCTACTTTCGGGCCGATACCGGGATACTCCATCAGGCGGTTCTTCGCATCTTGGTAAGGAACTGCCCTGAGCCGATCCAACTCTCCCTCGTTTCGCGAGACCAGCCGAGCAGCCGCTATGATGCGAGGCGCTTTGAATCCCAAGCCCAACCGGCGGAGCGACGACTCATTGGCACCTGCTAACACCTCGGGTCCGGGAAAGGTGTAGCGTGCGTCCCCATCCAGCGTAACCCGCTCGCCGTACTCCCCGGCCAACGTCTCCATATCCTGGCTGATGCGCTCCACGCTGGCCGGTGCTGAACACAGGTATGACACCAGGCATTCCCATGGTTCCTGCCTCAAGACCCTCATCCCGCGATAGCGTTCGAGCGCAGGGATCAAGGCATCCTGCCGCCCGCGAAGGTCGGCGTATATGCTTTCGATATCGTCGGTGTCCAGCCGGAAATATGAGCGCAGGGGTCCGTCCCATTGCGTGTTGGCGACTTCCACACCGCCCGACCCACCGACGCGGTAATCGATGCCCCCAGCGGTTTCCTTTACGTGAAACAACTTCCCCCAAAGCACGCCGGAATACCAGCCATCATTCTTGGATTGCCACCGGAACGCTTGCCCCATGGTCAGACTGAGTTTCAGGTCCAAAGGCTGGTCGATGGATACATAACCCATATTCTCGATCTCTCCACAGGGATGTTCCTTTGCCAAGTCCCCGCCGGACGTTCTGTTCATTCATGGACGGAGCTTGTGGTCAGCCGAGGTTGTTGAATGTCGTTGGTATGCCGTCCCATGCAGAGTGACGGAAAGTCGCAACAGAACCGGCAATCAGTGTCGTGGCGGAACCGATATCCGGATTCTCTCGCCGCGTACTGTCACGATCGCTCGCTCTTCCAAAGCTTGGCCATGATGATCAATGACCGCCGCCATAAGCGCAATGCGCTGTTCCGCCGGCACGTCGGGCAAACGAACCAAGCCGGCGTGGGGGAGGTCATGCAGATAGACCAACTCTCCAAAGTCGGCATCGATTGTGATCAGGACTCGGTTTTCCGATGCGGCCAACTCCAACAAAGCCCGATCCCCGGGATCAGCGCCCAACGTTCGGGCTTCCAGGACGTCATGCCCCTCACCCTGAAGCCATTCAGCCAAACGGCGTCCGGCGCACCGGTCCACCAGGAATCTCACGGCTCGCCGACCGACACTGCAGCCAGCGTGTCTCCGGAGATGACCGCGTGAGCGTAGGCGGTGCAGGCGCGGATATCATCCGGTTCGAGGTCTGGATAGTCGTCCAGAATAGCCTCCGATGAAACTCCCTGGGTCATCAGGCTCAGGATCATTTCCACCGATATCCGCATATCTCGGATGATGGGTTTCCCACCGAATACATCCGGCCGGGCGGTGATGCGTGCAAGCAATTCATGGTTGGCTGGCATAATCTTCCCTCACAGGCTCATGGAGTACGGCCAGCCGTGGGTGAACGACTGGCTGTGTTGACTAACTGGATGATCGCCGCAATCCGGCGGGCGGTGTCAGTGAAGTGCTGCACCTCTTGGGGCAGCAGTGGGCGGTCAAGGACCTTGCTCTCCCGGTAAGACATCCACTTCTTGAGAACCTGGTAGCCGCCGAGCTGGTAGTTCCAAGCAGCAGCGGGGACGTTGCTCCAGTAGGCACGGTCGTTGAGGTACACGTCAAAGGTGGTGTCGCCCAGCGTGGGGACGTCGTCTGCCAGCGTGGTCCGCTCATCGTCGGTGTAGTCCCGCTCCACGATCCTGCCCTGGCCGGGCATGACGGCCTCGCCCGACCCCAAGTGTCCCCAGCCGGCGGATACCGCGAAGTCGTCGCCAGCCATGTTGCCGCCGTCTGTCGTCATGGGCATGGCGATGGCGGCGAGTTCGGGACGCAACGCGCCGGTGGTCACGCCGGCAACGGGGGTATCGGAGTCCAACAAGGCCGCAAGCTCACGGCCCCGCGCCGCCGATTCTGCCAGCGCATCCGCCGCGCCGTCCGCGCCGCCGTCGGTCCAACCGGGAAGCGGGATGAGTGGCCACTCCATGCGGAGGGCGCCGCCTGAGCGCCCCCTTTCCCAGGTCTCGTAGAGCTCGTCGTAGGCGCGGACCCCAACCGTGGTGCCCACGCGGCAGACCTGCCCGGGCATCGGGTCCTTCGGATGGTCCACAAGTATCCGGACAAAAGGGAACGTGAACGCCGGGATTGCCATACAGATGCTCCGGTGCTGGGAAGATATTTTCAGTGTAAGGTCTGGCCAGCCGATGGGTCAAAGGTGCCCCGGCAGCTCCCGTACCACCTGATACCCCTTCCGGTGGCTCACGGCGTCATCTTGCGGTCTCAGGGCTGGTGGTGAGCATTGCCTCAAATCATGGGAAGATCCGCCGCAACGCATCGGCGAAACCCGATTTGGGCATCCATCCTCCAGCGTCCTCCGCCTTATTGATACCCGCGGTGGTTCGCGCAAGGGTAATTACGTCAAGCGCTTCTTTCGGTAGCGTCCTATTTGAGGCAATGCGTCCTCAGTGGCGCCGATGGCTTGGACAATACTGCGGCGCAATATGCGGCGGAGGGCATTCGCTGCAATTCCGTCCACCCCGGTTACATCGACACGCCGATGACGGAGCGGATGATGTCTCAGCCCGGGATGCGCGACTAGCGGATCGCAGCCACACCATTGGGGCGCATCGGGACGGTGGACGACATCGCCAACGGGGTGCTGTTCCTGGCATCGGACGAATCGTCGTTTATGAGGGGCAGCGAGCTGGTGATAGACTGGGGCTGGACGGCGCAGTAACCCCAGCTAGCGATAACGTGGGCTACTCGATGGCGTGCAGCCAGCCATCATCGGTGCGGATCAGAAGCCGGCCACCCGCGTAGACCGGGTCGGTGCGCACTGCGGCCGGCAAACCCAGCCGCCAGAGCTCGCGACCATCGGCATGGTCAAGCCCGTAAACCCAGCCGGACTTATCGCCGAAAACGAGCAAATCGCCGATGACCACCGGAGAGGCTGCGATAGCGTCCTCTGCCTTGAATCGCCATTGCTCCTGACCAGTAACTGGATCGATGGCGTACAAGTTGCCGAGCAGGTCGCCCACGAATAACCCGTCTGCCGTAACGGCGGGCGCTGAAATGATGCCGTCGATGGCCTTGCCATCCGGCACGAAGCGCCAGCGGTCTCCCGGTTGAGGCGGAGGGGTGGGTAACGGGAACCCCCAGAGCCACAGTTGCGCCCAAACACGGGTAACGGCGTAGCGACCCCGGGGAACTCGATGGCGTTAGCGTCCATGGCGAATAGTTGCCCACCGGATACGAAGTAGACCAGTTCATTGGCCAAAACTGGTGCGGCAACCAATTGTGCGGAAGCGCGGAAGCGGGCCCGCTCCTGGCCGGTACGGGCGTCCAGGGCGTACAAGCTGCGATCCGCCGACGCGACGTAAACTACCTGGTTGCCGACGGCCGCCGGGGAGCGCACTTCACTCTAACGAACTGTGTCTCCAGATGTGTTCGCCGGTGGCGGCATTAACCGCGTAGGTAACGCCGTCTAACCCACCGGCGTAGACGATCCCTCCCGCTACCGCCACGGGGCCGGAAGTGGAATCGCCGATTGGGTATTCCCAACGCTGCTGGTGGGTTTCCGCGTCCATGGCGACTACCCGGCGGTCGATGGTGGCGTAATAGATATTTCCTTGTGCTAGGGCGCGACCGAGTTGTGCATCGGGCCGGTAGTCGAGATGGAGTCCACTTCGACGCCCGTTTCAGAGTTCAACACAGCGATGCGGAAATGTCCTGGCAAGAAGATGAGATTATCGGATATTACCGGTGCAGCCAGAGTTGCCGGCCCGGTATCTACGCTCCACACCAACCTTCCTTCAGGCACGGCCAGTGCGTCCGCGGCGTGTCGGGTTTGGCCAACGGTACGCCCGGCCATCCTCCACTGGTCTCCCACTGAACTGGACGCAAAGATGTCTGCGGGCTGCCGGGTCAACAGGATGATGGGGTCGGGGATGAAGGGGAAGTTGAGCCAAACGAGAAATCCAAGGACGATGATCCCAACCATACCGACACAGACGTTACGCCGAGACAGGGTGCGGCGACGGCGCGCGGCTCCCCTTGCCCAACCTGGAACGACCGTCGGCGCCCGCATCTCAGCGGCGGTTCCGTTGTGTTCTGGGGGGACGGGTTATCGGATTCTGGAGGAGATGTGGTCATGGGTGTAGAGGGTCAAACAAAGATTCGGCAGGATGCGAATCCGCACCCTGCCGCTGTTTCGACGCCATGTGATGCAAGATTAGATGTTGCGCAGTTTAGGGTCAAGGCGGTCACGCAGCCAGTCGCCCAGCAGGTTCATGGCGAGGACGGTGAGCACGATGGCAAGCGTAGGGAAAAAGAAGAGCCACCAGGCGGACACTATCAGAGCACGCCCATCAGCGACCATTAATCCCCAGGCTGGAGTGGGTTGCTGTAGTCCGGCACCCAGGAAACTTAGTGTGGATTCGAGAATGATAACGTGACCAATCTCCAGCGTAGCCAGTACCACAACGGTATTTACAACGTTCGGAAAAATGTGGCGCAACATGATCCGCATCGGAGATGCGCCAGCCACTTGCGCACGAGCGATGAAATCCTGCTCCTTGATGGACAGGGCTTCGCCTCTGACCATACGGGCAAACCTAGCCCACAGCAGCAGCGAAATAACCAACACGACAGTCGTGAATCCACCCCCCATAACAGCGACCAGGACCAACGCCAACAATATGGACGGGAACGCCAATTTGATGTCAACAATGCGCATTATCAGGGTGTCTACCCACCCACCGCGGTAGGCAGCTATCAAGCCGAGGAGCGTCCCTACGCCTCCGCCCAGGGCGATGGCAAGGATCGAGATCGCCAAGGATATGCGGGCTCCGTGGATTATGCGACTGAGGATGTCGAATCCCTGGCGGTCAGTGCCCAGGAAGTGGGTGAAGTTCCCACCTTCAAGCCAAGCCGGAGGTTGCAGCCGGTCTGACAGGTTGATTTTTACCGGGTCGTGGGGCGCAATCAGGTCGGCGAATATCGCTGGGACAAACAAGAGCCCCGTCAAGATTAGCAGAGGGATGATTGGGTATCGCCCAAGGTTGGCCACTAAACTGCCTAAACCGCCCCGCTGCAGTTGCGTCGCGACCTCTGCTCCCGGTGTGGCTACTGATGTAGTCATACGTTAAAAGCCCCTCTGGTAATTGGTGTCGAACCGGATCCCATTAATTGTAGCGAATCCGAGGGTTGAGGTAGGCGTAAGCAACGTCAACGAATAGATTGATGAAGATGTAAAAGGTAGCGAACAGAATGACAACGCTCTGGATCACTGGAAAATCCCGATTCCGAATCGCGTCAATGGCGAGATCGCCGAGTCCTGGCCAAACGAAAACGGTTTCAATCACGACAGAACCGGTGAGCAGCACGGCTCCGATCAGGCCCATGTACGTGAATGGAACGATCAACGCGTTACGGAAACAATGTTTCCAAATGACTTTTCGCTCAGACATCCCTTTGATGCGGGCCAGCTTGACATATTCGGTGTCCAATACCTCGAGCATGGAGGAACGCGTGAGGCGCATGACAGCGGCCACGTTGTAATAACCCAAAGCGACGCCAGGAAGGATGATAGATTTGAATCCGGCATCGTTTCCTGATGTTGGCAGCCATCCCAAGATGACAGCGAACACCCACATGAGTAGTAATCCAATCGCAAACGAGGGTGCAGACTGACCGAGGAGTGCGACTACTTTCCCAGCCCAGTCGAATACGCTGTCTTTCTTGACCGCTACCATTACTCCGATTGGCAGCGCTATTCCCACGCTGACCGTCCACGCAAAAGCGGCGAGATAAAGGGTGTTGGGCAGGCGGCGTATGATGAGGCCTGAAATGGGGATTCCGCCGTACGCCCAGGCCTCCCCGAAATCGCCCTGTACGAAGTTCCCGATGTACTTGATGTACTGTACGTATATGGGTTGATCCAGGCCCCATTTTTCACGTACTTGGTCCACTACCTTTTGTGGGGCGTCTTCAGGCAGCAGGATCGCTACCGGGTCTCCGGTTACCCTGGCCAAGGCGAACACTATCATGCTGATGACCAAAAGGGCGGCGATCGCTTGGAGGATTCTAAGAACAATGTAGCGTTGCATCGAGTGCCTTCAGCGTTTGGGTTAGCTGGTTGGGGAGGTTGCCCCGCCGGATCCTACAATGTGCTGGAATCGGCTCTTTGCCAGCGGACCGGACAAGCCATTGATTGGATCTCTGATTACTTACGAACGACCTTGGTGTACTCGTGCCCTTTCATGCCACCGAAGTAACTGTTATTGACCGAATACTCGGCGATGACGTTGGGATCGATGCCGAGTTCGGCGAAAAGGAAACCCAGCGGCATGGTCGCGTTCTGTTCATACATGTACGTGCCCGATTCCTTCATCAGTTCCAGACGCTCGGCTTCGTCGACACTGACCTGCCACCGTCCAAACAGATCTTCCGTGTGCGGGTTTTCGAACATGGAGACCGGGCCATCCAAAGCCGGACTGACGAAATACGCCCGCATATTGCGGCCCGCCGGCCAGAAGCCGGTGCGGTGGGTCCAAAGCACGCCGTTCATTTCGCGAGCCCGGTAGCGTGTCCGGATAGGCTGGAACTCACCAATCTGAGCGTCTATTTGGAACCCCACCTCCCCGAGCCAGGAGATGATAGGCACTGCGATTTCGGTTAGTTCCGGTACTCCTACGAGTTTACCCGCCATGAACTCAATCCTTGGGCCCGCGCCTTCTGCGTATCCCGCTTCGGCCAGTAGTTGTCGAGCCAGATCAGGATCGTAAGCCGGAATCTCCCAAGCCGGGTCGTAGGTTGGATCGGAGGGATGCCAGCCAGTGTTGGCCATCAATTCCATCTTATTGTCGAAGAAAGCTTCGTTGATGGCGTCCCGGTCGATGGCATGATTCATCGCGCGGCGTACCAGCACGTTGGTGTTGGGGTCGTTGGGGTCGCGTTTGTCCTCGAGGTATTGCCCGCCGATGGCGATCCAAACCATAAAAGCCGGCAACGTGCTCTGCGTAAGGGCGTATCCCGCGTCGATGATCTCGCCCTGCAATTCCCGTGGAATCTCGGCTATGTCGGCTTCTCCGCTGCGGAGCATGGCAACGCGGGTCAAGTCCTCTTCGGCGAAGAAGAAAGTGAGAGATTCGAAATCCGGGGTGATGCGCCAGTGTTCGTATGGAACCCGTTCGTACTCCAGTTTGGCGCCCTGCTCATAACTTATGTGTTGCCATGGGCCGGTTCCTACCGGATGTTCCGCATACACGGCCTCTCCATGCTTCTGCCAATAGTCCAGACTGTAGATTATAGGATCGGTGGTGGCGTCCGATGCAAAGAACGGGATCCACAACTCCGGTCGGTTCAACCGCAGAATCATCTCGCTATCGCTCACCTCTTCCACCGCGTTAGTTTTCCCTAACTCATCAACGTCCCAACTATACTTGTCGTCTCCGGGGCCGAGCAGAGTGTTCCACAGGGGCCCGAAACCAGCCCTGCTTTCCGGGTGGGACCAAAGCTGGAAGCTGAATACGAAATCGGATACTCCAAACGTGTCCTCGCCATGGTGGAATGGCACATCCTCCCGAAGTTTGATGTTCCATACTTTGCCATCGGGCGAAACCGACCACGAAGTCGCCAACATCTCCTGAGCTTCCCAAGTTTGAAAATTGCGTTGAATCAAATTCTCCTGCATTGGCTGCAAAATACCTTGGTTAGTTCCACCAACACGCCAACCCAGCAAGTTCTCGGCGTAAGGCGGCGTGATTGCGACGCGGAGGTCAGCTTGCACTGGTTCCCCGGCTGTTGAAGCTGGAGGATCGGTGGGTGCAGGGATCGCCGTTGGCGCTGCGCCGCCTGCCGACGAGTCGGACATGCCGCTGGGTTGGGCCAAAGTTGGCTGGGCAGTGGGTTGTTCCTGCTGCTGCTGCTGCTGCTGGATCTGGTTGCCGCTCGCAGGAACGGTCGCCTCTTGCTGTTCGGTGGGCGCACCGCAAGCAACCACTACGGTTAGTAAAAATATCGATATACCGTAAAATGCGTTGCGCAAATGCATAACATCTTTCATAATCGACAATCACCTCGCCTTAGTCTACTAAATAATGCTATGTCAACGATGTTCGTTTACGAATTCTGGTTCGCGACGGTACTCTACTTTATCGAGAACGCTGATGTCAACTATCAAAATCCCGGATAGACAAACGGAAATGCTGTCATTGCGAGGGTAGCGTGGCAATCTCAATAGCGTAGGCGCTGTACTTGGTGTATTGGATCGTTGGTGATTCTATGAGATTCCTCGTTTCGCCCGGAACCATTTAGCCCGAATCCACCGAAGGGATGTAGCCATGTTGGTTAGAGAAGGGATGAGAGGCAAGGGAAAGAGACGGCGAGGGAGGGCTTGATTCCAATAGATTTGGCTGTGTGAAGGGTGCGGTAGCCACGCAAAGGGGATGTTGACGGCCCACGGTGGGGGTGCTGGGCGAGATTGTCAGGGCGGCATACAGCCAGAGACGCTCGGCGACCGACCTGGCGCGAGCCTTCGAGGCGGTTGAGTAGTCTGGTGGATGGGTCAGGCACCGACGGCGTCGTCAGGCCGGAAATGGAAGGGCTCGCAATCGAGCGAGGGCGCGACTGAACTGGGTTTCCCAGGGCCAGCGCTGGGGAAGATGTAAAGTGAGGCGGCGCGCCGAAGGGGTGAGCCGTCCGGCCATAGAGAAGAAGCGTCGTCGCAGGGTTTTGGTGGTTACCACCTGCTCGCTCAGACCGATGCGCACTGTCCAGCGAGCGAGGTTATACACCATCTGATTAACGACAATTAGTCCGGCCTGTTGCCTCATCAAGAAATGTTACCGAGACTTTAGCTAGAACCGCATCCCTTCGGTGGATTCGGGATAAACCCTAGCGGAGGATTTGGCCTTATTCAAGAATTTCCTCGGCCGGGAAGACAAAACGTATATGTGGTTTGGTCAACGAAATAACCCCTCGTTCATCTACAATTTGGCCGAGCCGGTTCAACTCGTTGACTCGCGGGAGTACCCCGGGGTCCAGATTGCTGATGTTTGGGCTAGTGCTCTGGCTTACGCTTTCAACCATGCTTAGAACCTGTCTACGATCTCTGAAATAGGTTAAGTTGAGACTATTATCAGGGGAGGGGTAATCATGTCTCATTCCTATCCCAGCGACATCAGCCGGAAGCAATTCGCCCGGATTCTGCCGACGTTGGAGTCGGCCCGCCGCCGGACCAAACCCCGCACCGTGGACTTGTATGACGTTTTCTGCGGCGTGCTGTACCTCTTGAAAAGCGGGTGCCAGTGGCGAATGCTGCCCGCGGACTTCCCCAATTGGCGCACTTGCTACCAGTATTTCCGGCAATGGAGCGAGCAGCCTGGCCCGGCGAAAGAATCCATTCTGGAGCAAGTCCTAAAAAAAATCGGTTGGCGCGGTCCGGCAAAGCAATGGACGGAAAGAGCAGACCAGCTTCTGCATCGTGGACTCCCAGAGCGTCAAGAACACGGACAGTGCCGATAGCAAGGGCTATGACGCGGGCAAGAAGGTGTCCGGAATCAAGCGTCACATCGCGGTGGACACCCAAAGGATTGCCCCATGCGATACCTGTGACTACCGCCAATATCACCGACTGGGCTGGGGCTTTGGCGATGTTTGACGAAAACCGAGCCGACCTCAACCAAGTCCAAAAGGTGCTGGTCGACGGGGGTTACACCGGGAAGCCCTTTGCCGCTGCGGTGCAAAGCCGGTTGGGAGCCGCGGTGGAAGTGGTGAAACGCAACGAACTGCACACCTTCGTGGTGCTTCCAAAGCGATGGGTGGTGGAGCGATCTTTCGCTTGGCTGGAAAAGTGCCGCCGACTCTGGAAGAACTGTGAAAGGAAGCTCAATACCAGCCTGCAAATGGTGGTGCTTGCCTTCATGGTGCTAATCCTCAAAAGATCGTAGACAGGCTCTTAGGAAGACATCTCCCGACAGTGGTTGGAGCTTGCCGAAAATGCTATCTGCAACATCATGTCCCCTGACAAAGATCTGATCGACCTGCGAAGACGGGGGCCATTCATGAACTCGGCGGTGTTGTTGGAGCTCAGCCGGCGCAGTGTAGAAGCGGAGAATCTGTTCATTGGGATGGATGGTTTGGTTTTTAATGCAGCGTCGGGATGAATACTCGGCGTCCGCGATGCTACCGGAGTTGGACCTCTTGGCGGCATTGGGAATGGTGGGTACCACCGACGCGGGCGATATGCGACAGTAGCTGATTGCTGCAGACGACGCAGTTCCCGGGGAATTTATGGGTGAGAGGTGTTTTGGCAGGCGGTGTGGTCACGGGAGTTCGCGCCAGGAATCGAGATTTGAGCAATAGTGGGTTGACCGGAGCATTGTAGCGGTCGCCGTAAACTGTCGTCGCGGCTGGATTGTTGCAACCTGTTAGCCCCTAACCTTACGTTAGCCTGGCAGGATAGCTATTCAGTGCCTTTTCCCTCGGCTGCCCTCACGTCGCTGAAGTAGGCCGAGCGTACAAGCCGATTTTACGTAATGACCCTTTTGAGCGAACCAAACTCCGTGTCGGCGATGAAAACTGGAACCACCGGATCAGCCGACCACGCCGGCGACGGCGGCCTGAAGGCGCCTTACGACCGCGTCCACATCGTCCGGTATCTCATCGGCGGTCGCGATGCCGAGGAATGTTCGAAGGTCCCCATCCGGCATGTAGCCACGCTCATCGTCGATGGTGTCGATCAGGCCGGCGAGCTGCCAAGCTTGGAGGATGTGCGAGATGAGAAGATGGGCACGTATGGGATTATCGGCGGATACGGTCTTGCTGAACCCGCGGAGGACCCAGTGATGAGGGGGTTCGAAGTCCCTGGTCCATCCATAGGAGATGGGCTCGGATCCATCTCCCGGTCCAGGCCGTTCAGTGCGTAGTGAATGGTGGTCACGATGTCTCTCCTTTGGCTTGGTCGGAGTTCTTGACCCGAATACGACACAATGTTACCGTTGTGTAATGATACCGCAGTTCGATGCGGATGGACTGCTGCCACCGGGAGTCCATTGGGCGGTTTGGGATGAGGTGACCGCAAGGTTCGGCAACACCCCATGGCGTAGGCAGCTTCTGGAAGGGCTCGGGATGGCCATCAATAGCCTGAGGCGGGCCGGCTGTCACACCGTGTACATAGATGGCAGTTTTGTGACGAGCAAGGAGATGCCGAATGACTTCGATGCCTGTTGGGAGGAGGAGGGTGTGGCGCCGGAATTGCTGGATCCGGAGTTACTGCACTTCGATGCCGGGAGGGCCGCTCAGAAGGCCAGATACCAGGGTGAGCTGTTTCCCGCATCCATAGGAGCGACCGCGGACGGGATGTCGTTTCTCGAATTCTTCCAGACGGATAGAGAGACCGGAAGGACCAAGGGCATTGTTGCAGTTGATGTGGGAGGCACTCGATGATCAAGAACGAAAGGCAGTACCGGATCACCCGCAGGCAGGCAGACCGTTTCGCGCAGACCCTGGAGGGGTTTAGGGAGAGACCGGAGGGAGCTAATGGGATGCATCCCCTGATCGCGCAGGCCCAGGTGGATGCGGTCAGCAGCCAGCTGGCCGATCTTGAGGCCGAGTTGCGGGAGTACGAGGCGATCAAGGAGGGAGCGTTTCAGGTGGAGGCATTGCGGATGGTGGGGGACCTGCCTGCATTGCTCATCAAGGCCCGCATCGCCCGAGGACTGACCCAGAGGGAGTTGGCGGATCGCATGGGATTGAAGGAGCAGCAGATACAGCGATATGAGGCCACAGATTACGCCACGGCCAAATGGTCTCGCATCAGGGAGGTGGCGGGGGTGCTCAGCATTGAACTCGGCAGCTCGGACGCGCCGGTGAAAGCTCTCCAGTGAGAGATTGTCGATCAGGATTCGAAGCGGGAGGCGGGTCAATGAGACAGCTGAATGATTACAGCGATGTCCGATACCGGGGGTTCTGTATCCATTGTGGCGAGGGTCTCCACCTCGGAAACAGCAGCCGTGACCACGTTCCAACTCGAGCTCTTCTGGACCGTCCCCATCCGGATAACCTTCCCACCATCGATGTCTGCCGTGAGTGCAACAACAGCTTCTCAAAGGACGAGAACTACCGGGTAGCTCTCATTGCCTGCGTCATCACCGGATCGGTTGAGCTGAACCGGCGGGAGTTCTCCGTTGCCTCCGGCATATTGGCTCGAAGTGTGGAACTAGCAGCTCGCATTGAACGAGCGAGCAGGGTCCAATTGACGCTGTGGGGTGATGCTGAGGTTCAATGGTCTGCGGAGCTGGACCGTGTTGAAAGTGTGGTGGTGAAGAACGCGCGGGGTCATGCTTTCCACGAACTCGGTCTGCCACTGCAATTCCAACCGAGCCATGTGGTAATGTCCTCATTGCTGTTGCTTTCTGGCAATCAGCGAAGTCAATTCGAACGGTGGCCGGATGATGCACCGTGGCCGGAAGTCGGTAGCAGGATGATGCAACGCTTGGTGATGGGAGACCTCGACCGAGGTTGGGTCACGGTACAGGAAGGCGTTTACCGCTACATGGTCGTTCAACTGTTTGGCGGAACGGTGGTTCGCAGCGTTATCCGCGAGTATATGGCGACCGAAGTGTTGTGGTCCGATGAAACGGATAACTCGGCAGATTTACTCTGAGGTCTCACTATGACCCGTACTGCATCGGGGAGCGGATCGGCGGCGGCCGGCACGCGGGTTGACGACAGCTACGACGTGGTATCGCCCCGGGCAGATCATCTCATGGAGTCCCTGCGGGGCGCTGGCTACTCGCTGCCGGCGGCGGTCTCCGACCTGATCGACAACAGCATCACCGCCGGCGCCGGGAACATCTGGCTCAACTTCCACTGGTCGGGGGCGAATTCCAGGGTGTCGATTCTGGACGACGGCTGCGGGATGTCCGAAACCGAGCTGGTCGACGCCATGCGCATCGGGTCACGCAGCCCCAGGGAGGAGCGGGACTCGGACGACCTGGGGCGGTTCGGGCTGGGTCTGAAGACGGCCTCGATCTCACAGGCTCGATCGCTGACCGTCGCCACCCGCACCGTGTCATCGGGATCTCCGAGTATCAGGCGGTGGGATCTGGACCATCTGGCGTCCGTGGGTGAGTGGCAGCTGCTCAGGCCTACTGCAGAGGAGTTGGGGGAGGATGTCCCGGCGCTGAACGAACTCCCGCACGGAACCCTGGTGATCTGGGAGAAGCCGGATCGGATGGTGGGGGATGTTGGTCCCGATGATGAACGTGCGAGGCGGCAGTTCCTGCAGGTCCTCGAGGCTGTGGAGAACCACATCGCCATGGTGTTCCACCGTCTGATGACGGGCCGGGGAGCCGTGTCCATCTGGCTCAATGGTCAGAGGGTCACTCCGTGGGATCCGTTCCTGACGATGGGGGATGCGACGCAGGATATGGGATCAGAATCCCTGGGACGCGACGGCGAGGTGGTTGTGAACCCATACGTTCTTCCGCATCATTCGCGGCTGACCTCGGAGCAGCACCGGTTGGCGGGGGGCCCGGCCGGATGGAACGCCCAGCAGGGATTCTATGTGTACCGGAACCGGCGGCTCCTACTGCCCGGCGACTGGCTGGGATTGGAGTTCCAGAAGGAGGAACACTACAAGCTGGCCCGGATACTGGTGGACCTGCCCAACTCGTCGGACGAAGATTGGGACATAGATGTCAGGAAGAGTCGGGCGCGTCCCCCGCTGAGGTTCAGGGACGACCTGTTGAGGATTGCCCGGGCGACGCGCCGCGTGCCGTCGAGGTGTACAGGCATCGCGGCAAGACCTAGGCGCGCAGTTCGCGCAGCGCCCCGACCTTTCGTGTGGCTGCGACGCACGAGGGGTGGGAGGGTGTCCTATGTCGTCAACCGGGGACACCCGCTGGTGAGCGGCGCCCTGAATTCCACCTCCATCAACGCTAGGCAGTTGCGGCTGATCCTGCGGCTGATCGAGGAGTACGTGCCCGTTCAGCAGATCTGGGTGGACATGGCCGAGGGTGATGAAACGCAGAGTCAGCCGTTTGAGTCAGCTGCGGAGCCAGAGATAGTGGCATTGATCAGGGCGGCCTACGAAGCGCTGATCAACTCCGGGTCAACCCATGAGGAAGCATTGGCGCGTTTGGTGAGGACCGAGATCATCGGGGACCGGTTCGAACTGGTGGAGGCAACGGTCCGGGAACTCGTGGAGGGGACGAGAGTTGAGTGACTTCGAAAGGGCTAGGAACATGGCGCTCGGCCTGCTCGACGGAGCGACGCTCCTGATGAGGCCAGGGTCAGGCAGATGGCGGACGATCTCGGTGCAGGCCATCACCATGACCACGCCTGGTGCGGAGGTGGACGTCGAGCGCTGATACGTGAACTCGAGGCCAATCTCAACGTGCTGGTGGGAGCCGCATCCACGCTGACCGATGAGCAGAGTGACCACCTTCCCTGGCTGCCGGAACGGCGGGGCTCGATCGAGTGGAGGCTGGCAGGCGCTACCGGCGATTCCTGCAGGAGCAGAGGGGATGGGCGCTGCCGACGCTGCGAGTTCGGACGATCTCACGGACCGGATCTCGCCCTGATGGAGGATCCCTGCAGACCGGGAACGTGGGATCGCCGCGGGATGGTGGTGGGAGAGGTGCAGTCCGGAAAGACCTCCAACTACATCGAGCTGGCCTGCAAGGCGGTGGATGCCGGTTACAGGTTCGTGGTGGTGCTGACCGGGGTCGACCAACAGTCTCCGGGCGCAGACGCAGCTGCGCTTCGATGAGGGCTTTCTGGGGTGGGACACCAGGCTGAACCTGCAGCTGGGCAGCAGCAACAGGCGTGTCGGAGTGGGTGCCCTGCTGGGAGAATCCCTGTACGTGCGATATCCTCCGACCAATGCGAGTGAGAACGGCGATTTCAGACCTCCGGGTGGCCAACCACTACAACATCCGGCTGGGCGGAGATCCGGTGATCATGGTGGTCAAGAAGAACGGCTCGGTGCTCCGCAACCTGACCCGCTGGGCGCGATCGGTGGGGCAGGGGGGAACGGATGCCCCGATCCCCAACACGCCGCTGCTGGTGATCGACGATGAGGCCGACTACGCCTCGGTGAACACCCGACCGGTTGGCGACCAGGGGATGATGAGGACCCCACGGTGATCAACGGGCGCATCAGGGAACTGCTCAACACCTTCGACAGCGGGTCTACGTGGGGTACACGGCCACGCCCTTCGCCAACATCTTCATCTTTCCCGACCAGAGACCGACGACCACGGACGGGACCTATTTCCCCGCGACTTCCTGGTGAACCTCCCGGTGCCCAGCAATCACGTGGGACCGACGAGGGTGTTCGGCCTTCCGGAGGATCCTGACGACGACGAGGAGCACCCGGGATCCGCTGCCCCTGATACGGATCGTCGATGATCACCATGAGCACATTCCCGATCGCCACCGGCCGGACACAGGGTGGATGCGCTGCCCGGATCGCTCCATGAGGCGCTGCGCGCGTTCATCCTGACCTGCGCGGCCCGTTCGGCACGCGGTGGTGGCGGCCACCACAACTCCATGCTGATCCACGTCACCAGATTCGTCGGAGTTCAGAGCAGCATCGCCGATCTGGTCAGGGATGAACTGAGGGATCTGCAGAACCGCATCAGGTATGGCGACGGCGACTCCGCCGTGCCCCATCATGGACGAGCTGCGCGCCTTGTGGTCGAACGACTTCGCCCCGACGTCGGCGGAGACGCGGGAGCGGTATCCGGACCTGACCCGGGAGTGTGGGATGGTGTCCTGGGATGGTGTTCGGTCTCAACTGCTGGATTCCTCGCAGAGGATCGAGGTCCGGGTGATCAACGGCTACGCCCGGGAGGCGCTGGACTACTGGGACCACCCGGATGGGATGAGTGTGATCGCCATCGGGGGGACAAACTCTCGCGCGGCCTGACGCTGGAGGGCCTGTCGGTCAGCTACTACCTGCGCACCTCCCGTATGTACGACACCCTGCTGCAGATGGGAAGGTGGTTCGGATACCGGCCCGGCTATGTGGACCTCTGCCGCCTGTACACCTCCGAGGAGCTCCGGGAGTCCTACGAACACATCACCATGGCCACTGAGGAGCTGCGGCAGGAGTTCGATCAGATGGCGGCCCGCGGCATGTCCCCCAGGGAGTTCGGTCTGAGGGTCCGCAGTCACCCGGCGGGGTCTGATGATCACCTCTGCCGGCAAGATGCGTAACGGCACCCGTATGACGGTCTCCTACACCGGGGACATCAGCGAGACCATCTCCTTCGACAGGGACCCGGTGGTCAACCGCCGGAATCACGCGCGATTTGATGCCTTCATACGTTCGCTGGGCTCGGTTCAAGTGAACCCGTCGGGAAACCACGTCTGGCACGAAGTGGCCGGAGGCCGCATCGCGGACCTCATGGAGGAACTCACGGTGCATCCGGGTTCGCGCAAGGCGCGAGGAGATCATCTGGCGAGATACATCAGAGGGCAGAACGGCAGGAGGGCGTTGCGAGACTGGACCGTGGCGTTAATATCCAATCCGGGGGAGAGAACGGTGGAACTGGGAGGCCTGTCTGTCCGACCGGTTCGTCGGACGGAGCATCTCGCCGACCACCCGGATGCGGCAACGGTTTATCGCATCCGCCGTCTGGTCAGCCCGACGGACGAGATGATCGACCTGACCGACGACCAGCGTGGGCGGGCTCTGGATATGACGGTCCGGCAGTACGAGGATGATCCTACGGGCAACCGGCACAGGCGCGAACCCACCAGGCCCAGCGGTCCCAACATCAGAAGGGTTCGTGACCATCGGCGGGGCCTGCTCCTCATCTACCCCCTGCAACAGGGAGATGAAGACGGTCTGCCCTTCGTGGGTTTCGCCGCAAGT